TAAACTTAACGTTAGCTTTCTAGCTAACACAACACATTCATGCACCTTTCTCTCTGGGTTTTTTTGTAGTGACGAATGAAGTTGGATGTTGTGGTGGTCGTGTCACTGAGCTTTATGCTGCAGACCCTGCATACCGCTGTTTTCTTATTATTAGCGTCATCGACAAAATAATCCTTGAATCCAAACTTGACTATTTGTGGAGTAACGCTAGCCGCTGCCATGTTAACTGACACTCCCATGGGAGCCTGCCTGCAGACCTCCACTCTCAGCACAGTTCCGGTGCAGGCTGCACTCTCAGGACACCTCCACTGTCAGTACAGGAAGTGACGATTCTGACGAACACGTTTTTTTCCCCGCCCACCGAAGGAATCGTTTGATGGAATTTTTCAAATCACAATGGAGATTCATCACGGAGGGGATGAGTCCGCCCACCGTGCACTTTGGGTCGGCCTTGGTCAAGCCCTTTTGACCCCCCCAGCCTGGTTCTCGTAAAAGTTTTTCGCTCAAATTACACCATGGAGGAATGTAACGGGAGTTGACAGGGGACTCTGCCCACCTCACGAGTGTCTATTTTCACTTTCCCCCCTATTTTCCCCGGTTTTATTATTATTATTTTTTGGCTATTTCACCCGGTTTCTACCGGGGACATTGCCCGGTCTCGGGTGTCGCCTCACGGCCTGTGTCCAGCCCCCCCCTACTCATCCATATATTAACGGATTTTGACAATTTTTTCTCCTCTCCTCTCACTGATCGAATGGCAAACGCGACACACTGTCGGAGGGCCTCCGCGCCGGCCCGGCCTAGTGCCGGTGCTCTGGCGGTCGGTTCCTCCGAACTGCGGGTTCGACTCTGATGGCCGGGAGGGTGTGCTGCGTTGGGGTGGGGGACTTCCCCCACCCCAACGTATCATTTTTATATTTATTTTTTATAATTTTTAAACTATATATATATATGTATAGGGACACCTTGTATTGTAGTTAATATCAGTACAGTATCACTTAGATTGATTGAACTGTTCTGCCCTTACAGCGCGTATCCCTATGCGTAGCTAGACAGTTAGCTAACATTTAAAAGTCCTCCAATAAAGATGCAAGGTTTTCTTTCTTGACTTTACTGTTCTTCTTTTACTTTGTAAAACTGTAACAATACAGAAACAAAACACATATAAGTATGCAGGCTTTACATAACATATAAGTAGCACTGTACAAACGACACACATACTACTATTAGGAATTAGCCCCCTCTCGACACTCCTGCCGTCTAGTGGGTTGCCAGGTTTGCGCACACGGCGCTATAATCACCCAATCACGTTTAGAAAAAAACTAAATGTAATATCTCAATACAAAAACGCAAATATTTCATTTTAAAAAGTCAAGTCCTTTCAAGTCAGCTGTCTCAAGCTTAAGTCAAGTCTCAAGTCATGAATACCAAGTCAAAGTCAAGTCAAGTATTTTTCAATGTTAGTCAAGCAGGTCTCAAGTAAAAAAATATGCGACTCGAGTCAAGTCATGTGACTCGAGTCCCCACCTCTGCTAATGGCCTATAAAGTTTGGATATTAGAAAGTTATTTTCATCGAAGCAGGTGCCACAAGCTGCAGCAGCAGCAGTATCAGCAGCTGACAACAATGTCATCACCAGCGGTGAAGAAATGGATGATGTTTCAGGTTTGTGAATCTAATGGTGATATCTGCACTCTGGCTGACTAAGATGTGAAAAAGAGTGATGTAACGTTAATGTTATAGCTAGTAAACATGGAGTAACCACACTAAGTATACCCTTATATGTTAGTATGTATACAGAACATGACTAAAAATGATCCTAAGATATAACGTTAACCCTTCACACCTCAGTCTGCTTTTAACACACTAAAATAACGTATTCCATTTTTTATTTTGTTTTCGCACGTGGAATTATACCGGCTCTCGTTTCAGTACACATAACAACGGAACCATAGCAACGGAACTGACAGGCAACGGAACTGACAGGCAACCCTCTGATTCAGACTCCGATTGGCTGTGACTGCATCCACTCAGAGTGTCCGATTCAGAAACGTGACTCTTACACTCTTTACGTCACAAACAAAGATGGTGGATGAGAATAGATCTATAAAACGATAAGCAATGTGCCAGAATCAAGGTGAGACTATCCGCATCCTTTAAAACTCTACGCACATTCGTTTCACCGAAATAAGTAAACAACTGTATTTGAGTGAGTTAAGGCATTAGTTTGCTTCATTAAAGGGTGTTAATGAATAAGTGTTCTCCAGTGCCTTTTGTCCGCTTTAAGGTATTATTAAGGTAGGGTTAATGTTGCTCTCAAAGTGCACCAGATTGATGCTTTTAACTTCAATAAAAAAAACACTAGAGGAGGCGACAACCCCCCTAAAGGATGTTCGGTCCACCCCCCACTTGGAAAAAATGGCACTTTATCCCTGCACCCCCCACCCAACAACTCCTGGGCTAAGTCACATGACTTGGGGCTAAGTCACATGACTTGGACTCGAGTCAGACTCGAGTCATCAATTTGATGACTTTGGACTCGACTTGACAAAATCACAAAACACTTGCGACTCGACTTGGACTCGAACACCAATGACTCAGGACTTGACTTGGACTTGAGCCTTCTGACTTGAGGTAACTTGATACTTTAATTCAGGGGTCTCCAACACGCCGATAGCGAGATGCTTCGAGAAGAGCAGACTCCAGTCGGGGGGAGCAGAATCTTCAGCCGCTCCTACTCTTGCTTTGAATCCATGCAGGCAGGGGCGGGACTTTATTTTGCTGAGCCACCATGCGGCCAATCATATGCGAGGACACACTAGGATCATACCATTATGTGAAAGAAAGGTGGGGGGCAGACGCTCCAAAGACAGCAGGTTTAGTGGTACAGGCCAGCTACAGAGCAACAGGGAGACGGGGAGCCGGATTTAAATGCAAGCGCGTCGGAAAAAGTCAAGAATTTAGCGAAAATCAAAAAAAAGAAGCAGCATCTGGCTGCATTTCAATGATATTGGAGAAAGCAAAGCTGAGTGCAGGATTTGTAAAATGAAAATAACCTTCAGAGCAGGTTTTTTGTTTTTGGTAACCACTAAGGATTTATTGTCAGAGGTGGTTCAGGACTTGTACTTGAGTAAAAGTACCTGAGTGTACAATAAAAAGTCCTGAATTCAAAATGTTACTCAAGTAAAAGTAGAAAAGTATTATCATCAAAATATAGTTAAAGTACCACCTGCAGAGGGATCTAGATTCAGGTGTTATTTTCCCCATAGAGACCGCCTCGCTGCACATTATCCCTTGCATAAAGATAGATTGTGGGTCCCTTATAACATGTTGTACACAGTGGAAATAAACATTCTGGTCACCTCAACATCAGGGATCTTATACATTAAACTCCTTCTGAATCAAACCGTCACGGTAGCCTTACCTTACCGAGCCCTCTTCAAATAGAAAAAAACACGTTACTTTACCAGCAGAGAGAAAATGGATTATTAATGTGACTAATAAAGAGCAGTTTGATTATTAAGTATTATATCTGTTATTCCATGTTATTACATTTGGTGAAAAGCACATAATGACTTGTTAAAGACTCGTTTTGTCAAAGTTTAGGACTTGACTTGAACTTGTGTTTTTCCGTTACCCTCCTGCACTCAAACAGAAATAAACAGAAAGGTAAGAAAAAGAAGACGACAAAGCCTAAAAAGAAAAAATGGATCTGAGCAGGAATCACAATTGAGCTCTAAAGGTACATTCACACAAAACGCGATGAGATTTTTTCGTGTGTCACGATTACATGTAAAGTCAATGCAAAGACGCGGATAGACTGCAGTGGCGCGAATGGTGCGTCATTGGCGAGAGTTACATTGTTTTAACTCGAGCGACACATTTGCGTGATGCTGTCTCGCAAAAAGCCAATCAGCGTTCAGAATCTCTGACTCTCGTCACTGACGTTGAATCAGAAAACCAAATCAGCAGCCTTTGGCTCTGGGTGACAGCACACAGAGCTCACAGCTCCTCATATCTGTTCAGAAACTGGAGAGAAGTTATTAATGTACAACTCACAGAATGTCTGTGGCATGGGGAATACAGTCGCTGCTTTATTCATTTCTGTATGCCCCGCCTCCTCACCCGGGCGTCTTGTTGGAGTGACGAGACTAGACACAACTGACAGCCTTGGTCAAACTTCTGCGAGTAAAGCGATGCGTCCGATGTGAACGCACAATCAGGCTTGTCGTTTAAAAGTAGTCTTAGTGTTCATCCAAAATCATCCAACGACAATTGTCTATCTAATTAAGTTTTCTCAAGGAAGGTTGCTTCAGAGGGAAGCTTATTCTCATGTGGGCCACTCCTGCAGCTCTCCGTTGAGATTAGTCTCACTGATACCCCTTTCCCACCGAACCGGTTCCAGGACCAGTTTGGAGCTAGTGCCTGATTGCGAATCAATTCTTACCGTTTCCACAGCAGCCGGTCCTGGAAAATACAACACTATGACAAAATCATGAATGCAAACTTCAACAGCAGTGGACAGCGGAGGACACAAGCTTCCTTCTGGTATTTGGTCCTCGCAAGAGATTCAGAGGAAGTTGGAAGGGAGTACCAGATCGGAAGCCATTTTTCAGCAACTTCACTGGAGCAAATGGTCCATGTGTCCTGTAGTTTTCTTAGCAAAAGCAATAGATCACCAGTTCACTTGACAGGTACCATGTGTAACACATTCTTTGAACCAGACATTGTGCGACATCATTTTCTTCTGGTTTCTGTGGGAAAGTTAGATTTGGAATGACCACAATTTGCAAGACCCATTATCCCAAAAATACTTCTTGTCTTTGTGTCATTGGTAAGAACATTGAGAGTATGCCATGCATAACACCTAGGCTTCAATGGTGATTGTACCTCCAGTATTCAGATAAGGCCCCATACTTCCTAAATCTTGTGAGCCATGTATGGAATGATAGTGAAAACCCAGCTAGGCTCATTACTTTTCTGTCTGCTTGTTTGTGTCAGTTTGCAGGTTTGGAAACGTTAACATCATCAATGATTGACATGTTCCCTGGACAGATGCGCAGACCTTGGCGCAGAGAAATTATCCTCGTAGTCTTCAGCTCTTTCACCTTCCTGTTACAGATCACTCTCACCACACAGGTACTAAACAGGCTGGCATTCCCCCTCCCAAACACATTGGCTAACATTTAGCATGTTCTCATATGGGATGAGTATTTAATTGACATTATCTCTTCTGTGTTACCCAGGGAGGAGTATACCAGTTCGAGCTGATTGATTACTATGGTGCCAATGGGATATGTGTGCTATTTGTGTCTTTGGTCCAGTGTGTGGCTGTTGGCTGGGCCTTCGGTAAGTGCTATAAGTACCAAGGTTCAGTTATGCTTTAGTTAACCACATGCAATTTTAATATCCAGCTATACAGTATATCTAAAACGTTAATTTGTTAAAAGTACCAAACCTTTTTAGGAACCCTTTCTGTCTCTTAACCATAAAAACAATGGTCTTAATTTCACACACCTTTTATTTACATCCAATGGCAACATGTAGAACCACCCTTAAAGTAGTGTAACTGTAATGTGGAGATGCGAAAGGGCAGATAGAAACTTTTCTGGAATCTCAGCTGGTTCATATTGATGATAACAGTGTCTTACCCATGCCAATAGTCCAGCACATATCCTGTCACAAACCACATGCTGCTCATTGACTCTTGATTTTTCTCTACCTGAAAATGTCTTATATATATATAGGACAGGGATGGGGAACCTTTCTCCTCTCAAGGGCCATTTACATGTTTTCAACATCCTCCGAGGGCCGTACAAATGATTGACCTCTGCTTAAAAATACTAAAATCACAGCCCATTAATTTCGCCTTTCTTTCATGCTGTGCAAAGAAAAAGCAACATCTTAATCCAGATATCTTACCATGACTCGCGCATGCATGCACGTGCACGGTGTGGCGTGACCACCAAAACAGAAAGATATGGACACAAGATGTGTGTAAATGTATTTAGTTTCCTATCCATGTGAACATGATTTAAGTGGGGAGGGACCTAACCTCCTCTAGGTGGGTCCGGGGGACATGCTCCCCGGGAAGACTTTTTTAAATGTTGAAGTTAATACCATCAATCTTGTGCACTTTGAGAGTAAAATTAAGAGATATATGGATACATCTCTCAACACCCATATGAAACAGAACTTTCTTTTTCTTTATGGATATTTTACAAATCACTCTCCTTTTAAACTGTATTCTTGTTTATTAATAACAACTTTTTTTTTCATACCTGTTTACATTATTCTCTTATTTTTTTATAACTATAATGATCATATAAAGATGTGCCTTTACCTCACTGGTTGGAGAAAAAGCTTCTTATATGTGTTAGCATAGCTAGCTAACCAGATGCTAATAACAACAAAGTTATTGACTGTATGATCAGTATGACAGATGAACAGATCGCCACTGGGCTTTCAGCTAAAGACACAGCCACGCAAAAACTGTGGCATGTGTACGGCTCCTTATGGGTACTGCAATTTGTGGAATTGCCGGAGCGGCGTTCTGGTGCTCTCCGTCAGAACTGCACCCCTGTCAGACGAGACATATACCACGTGATGACACGTTAGGCTCGTGTTGTGTTCAACGACCCTGACCTTGGCCAGGAAAAGCAGGCACTCGCTTGTTTAATTATTTTACGGTCTAGAGTTCTTTAATTTTTTGATTTTTTGCGTGTGTTTATAAATTACCTCGAGGGCCGTACCAAATGGTCTCGCGGTCCGTATACGGACCGGAGGCCTCAGGTTCCCCACCCCTGATATAGTAGATCATTTTTTAGATAAATCTGCCTTTGCCTGTTGTACTGTAGTTATGTGTACATACAATACTTTTTTGATTTGGTCTATTAGCCTTAAATTGTCTCATGTTAGTTTTAGGGCTTCATAAAAAAATGTTGTGTTCCAATAAGTTGTTAAATGCCAATCCATTGGTGTGACGTACATCGTTATTTTATAGCAGGAGGTCCTGTCCTTTTAAAATGTTACTAACAAACAGTTTTAAATAATGCAGGGGGCTGAGAGGATACGTGATGCACTTGAAGACATGACGGGACAGAGGCCGGGGGTTTTCTACACTGTGTGCTGGCGTTACGTCACCCCCTCTGATCTGCACTGTGAGTTACACACAAGTCTGAAAGAAAGTAGAATACATACTTTTGATTAATACAACTATAGTGAAGTGAACTATAGTGCACACACAATTGTAGGCCCAAATAAACACTCTCAGCGCTTTAGAAATGTTTCTATGACAACTAAATCTTGACAATATATCACCGCTGTTGTATGACAGATTAGCCCCCTTGGATCGTACTGCCTATTTGGGCTACCTCTAATTTGTTAAAACAGGGATGTATGTTTGAAAGGGAGGAATACCTACCTAAATGTCGGTAGACTGTGTCAAAAATATTCCACAGAACAATGATTTTTTTCCTCTGCTTTTCCTTCAAGGTTTGCTTCATTGGCTTCTTTCTGGATTTCCAGCCTCTGAAAACAAGCGACGGCTCTGTGTACCCAAACTGGGCCAACAACCTGGGCTGGGCCATAGCCTTCTCCTCTGTGGTCACAATACCCATCTGTGCTGTCAGCAAGTTCTACTTCACAGAGGGCTCTTTCAGACAAGTAAGAGCACCAACACAACCCGCTTACAGTCTTTCTGCTTTATTATTGGTTTTCAATATTATTCTGTTTGTCTTTTGTCCATTTTTTCTGTCCTCAACAGCGTCTGTTGGTGCTGTGGCGTCCTGTTAGTGATCCTGTTGGTCCCAAAATAAAAGAAGAACGTTCCCTGAATGAGACAGAAATGAAGTCGTTGTCCGCCCCTTTCCCTGACATGTTATGAGTCAGGAGCCGGGGCGGACTGGGACTACAAATCAGCCCGGGACTCTCGACCGGCCCACGTCGGTACCGCCAAGTAAATACCGCTAGTGAATTGTCGACAGGGGGGGGGGGGGGTGGGGTGCTAGTGACTTATCCAACCGGCCCACATCGTCCGACTGGCACACTTCAGTACTGGCCCATTGGCCAGTCCGCCCCTGATAGTATACTGAAATTGAATTTACTTAATTTTATTAAGGTAAGTGGTTGCACGAAACAAATTTATTAAGTTCACTGTACTTATTAGTTTTGAGTAATTTCAACTTAATCATACTGATAATTTTCAGCTAAACTATTTTGAGTCATTTCAACCTAATCATACTGATAATTTTCAGCTAAACTATTTTGAGTCATTTCAACTTAATCATACTGATAATTTTCAGCCCAACTATTTTGAGTAATTGCAACTTATTCATACTGATAATTTTCAGCTCAACTATGTTGAGTAGAATTTACTCACTAAACCCATGTTAAGTGTACTAAAATGGATTATGTAACGTAACCTTTTTTCTTTTTGTACATTCAGATCAATTCTATAGTTTAATTCCTACATACAACAATTAAGTTGAATTTAATCAAACATTTTCAGCCATTTTTACTATGTTAACTTTCAATATATTAAAATAAAACAAACATCATATTTGATACATACTCTTACTTTATTATCTTGTACAAAATGACGTAACATGAAGCATGCGTCTTAAACATCTTCTGATTCGATAAAAACAACATGCAACTATCATGGCCTCCACACTTGTGTGTGTGTGTGTGTGTGTGTGTGTGTGTGTGTGTGTGTGTGTGTGTGTGTGTGTGTGTGTGTGTGTGTGTGTGTGTGTGTGTGTGTGTGTGTGTGTGTGTGTGTGTGTGTGTGTCAGGCTGCCAGGTGTCCACAATCCAATCACCTCTGCTATAAGACTCCGGCCCTGACTCCTCCACTTTGCCATATCGTAGACTCTGTAACCACAGTCAGTCTCTAGTTTTGGAAAGTCTTCAAATCCGATTCCCTGTTTGACCAAATACTTTACTAAGGAGTTGGTGGAGAGCAAAAACAGAGCTAAAAGATAGTGAATATTGGACTTATCAGATGGACAGAAACACCATTTCAAATGCATGATCATGTTGCTCTGTATCAGCTCAATGTGTACAGTAAATAGGCATTTCACCATACATTCACCATGTGAAATATATAATTACAGTGGCGGCTGGTGGAAAGTATTTTTGGTGGGGCTATGGAAATAGCGACTAATTCCCATTTAAAATCAGGAGACTAAATAACAGTGTGTGTGGGTGTGTGTGTGTGTGTGTGTGTGTGGTGTGTGTGTGTGTGTGTGTGTGTGTGTGTGTGTGTGTGTGTGTGGTGTGCGTGCGCGCGCATCTGGCACTATATCAGACAGGGCTACTATGCTAAATTGCTTTAATAAGCATTTTGTGTCTTGTGGCTCTCTGTTTGATTCTGTCACTGACTGTTACTTCTGCTTCTGTGAACGCTCCAATCCTTGACTCTGAACAATGTGGTCTGGAAAACCCTTTCAGTTTTACTCCTTTACTATTGGTATTGTTCATGAAGCATTATCCAAGTTAGATCCTAGGAAACCGGCTGGCCCGGACAACTTAAGAACCTTTCTTTTTAAAGTTAGCTGCAGATTTTATTGCTCCACCTCTTACTACTCTTTTTAACCTCTCCCTCAGCACAATACAATTCCAAAAGTATGGAAGTCAGCTTATGTCTTGCCTTACTGAAAGGAGGGGGAGGCAACTATTTTAAATAACTATAGGCCAATCTCAAAATGGTCAGTTCTGGCTAAGGTGCTCGAAACGACTTGTGAGTGAACAGGTAAAGGAGTTGTTATGTAAAAATGATATCCTGTCTAAACATCAGTCAGGCTTCAGAAAGCAACATAGCACCACTCACTGCCACAATGAAAGTGGTGAATTATATTACGAGTATTTTAGATAATAAGCAGAGTTGTGCAGCTCTATTTATTGACCTTTCCAAAGCGTTTGACACCGTCAGATCATCGCATCTTAAAGCAGAGGCTACTCAGTATCGGCATATCCAGCCATGCAGTGGGGTGGTTTGTAAACTACCTCTCTAAAAGGTCCCAATGGTGTCACTTTGATGGACTGTCTTCTGAGTGGTTTAAACATTTATAATGGTGTTCCCCAAGGTTCTGTTTTAGGACCACTTTATTATCCATATATATTAACAGCGTAGGTGATAATGTGGATGAAGCTACTTTACATTTTTATGCAGATGATACCGTGATGTACTGTGCAGGTCCCTCCATTAAAGAGGCT